TGTCCTTATGGCAGTGACCGTTTGGGGGGAAAAAAGTGAGGCTGATACTAAAATGCCAGAAAACAGTGCAGGCCTACAGAGGACACTCCCTCACCCCCCCCCCCCCCCCCCCCCCAGAGACCACAAGAATGAGAACATGGCCAACACCAAACTAGAACGCAGCACCACAGGGCAGCACAGCTGACTGAGGACGGGGGTCCGATGGCCACCCCTTGATGCACCTGAACGTGGAGAAGACAAAGGAGCATTATTAGTAAGGAGGTTACTGCTGACCTTTGGTATGTATGTTGATGCTTCCATGTCCCACTCTTCCCAGTGTTGAGAAGCAAATAAAAAGGCCAATAGGATGTTGGGTTAAACTCCACAGCCCTAGAGATGTAAGTCAAGAGAGGTGATGCTACGATTATACAATTCCTTGGTAAGATCCCATCTAGAATATTGTGTACAGGTTTGGTCACCTTATCTTAAAAAGGACATAGCGGCCTTAGAAAAGGTGCAGCGTAGGGCCACAAGAATGATTCCTGGTCTTAGAGGAATGTCTTATGAGGAGAGGTTAGCTGAGCTGAATCTGTTTAGCCTCGAGCAAAGGAGATTAAGGGGGAACATGATCTAGGTATATAAGATCTGGATGCAGGTCTGGATGCAGTTCAACCAAATAGTAACTTAAATATTAGTTGAAATACAAGAACTCGTTGCCATAGTTAGAAATTAGCGGGAGAACATTTTAAACTGGATTTGTAGTTAGAGTGTTAGAGCCATAGCTGTATGGAAGAGTATGGAATAGTCTTTCTGTTAGTGTAGTGCAAGCTAAAACCCTGGGTTCCTCTAAATCAGAGCTAGATAAGATTTTAACAACTCTGAGCTATTAGTTGAGTTCTCCCCAAATGAGCTTGACGGGCAGAACGGCCTCCTCTCATTTTTAAATTTCTTATGGTCTTAAGTTCTTATGACCAGTCACTGCCAGGACTGAAGTCGTGCTGAATTTGCTGGGGTCAGGACTGGAACTTGGGCTGTATTAATGCCATCTGTTTTACCATGCTGTTAACACTAATTACCACAGAGCAAGAGAAGCAGTTCCGTACAGGGGGGGGAAAGTGAACCCCCCCCCCCCCTCACCATGTCACGGTGGGCAGGTGGAATCCTTTGCATGATTTATGCAGGTACCTCCAGGTACTTATGCAGGTTCCTGGCCCATATCCTGGTTCCAGGCTCGCCGTGAACCCTGGCTGAGGAATGCTGACTGATCTCAATGGAGTCCCCAGTGAGCCACACTCTTATTAGGACAGGGCTTCGTGCGCATCCGTCCTGGTCATGTCGAGCAGACAGGATGTGAAAAGCTGAAGTGGCGTCAGCCACAGAAAGCAGTCTGCATCAAACCGACCTGCTGGATACACACAACCGGCTAACTAGTCATCTAAACTAGCCAGGTGTGATTAAATTAACCTCACCCACCCGCTCGGGGGGCTGTCACTGCTTTCTTACTTGCACATTACTTTAGATAAGAGTCTGCTAAAGAAATGCAACTAAACTCTGTATTGCCGCCTTTACTCTGAGATTTGTTTGAATGTATTTCACATTCTATAGAACCAAAAATTCTATACTGGAACATATTTAATATCAAATTTAAAGATAGATATGAAGGGGAAAAAAAAATAAATCAGGCCTGGTACACAAACAAAGTGCAGAGACCAGGGCACTGGGACCTCAGAAGTAACTGCAGAGTGGAGGGGAGACTGAGCTATGAAGGCAGAGCAACAAACAAAACCAAGCAAAAACTAAAACAGAAAACAAAAACAAAGTAAGCTGACATAGACAAAAGAGGGAACAAAAGGCAGTTGGCCCTGTCAGCATTTTCCATAGCAGGAGGGGGTGATAAACCAGAGGCCCGGTCGGCACAAACCGACCCCGTTACTCTACACACAACGGAAACCTCCGCTGCTTGCCCTGCAGGAACCCACCTGGGGAAAGGCTTGCTGGGAGAGGGAGTGGGTGCACAGGTCCTCACTATAGGGTAGGAGTCTGGCTTCAGCTGCACTGCAGCTGCCCCCGTTCCTGCCAGAAGCACGTTTGTTTTCAGGAATACTTCCCAGAGTCATCACAAGTGATACGGGCCCAGCTGGGACCCTAGCCCACCCCCCAGCGAAGAGAGTCTCATTTCAGATTCTACGTGGCCACTCACCATGCAAGCTCTGAGACTGGGGTCGAGGACACGCTCCCCCTAGTCCTCATGGCCCACCTCCCCCTAGTCCTCATGGCCCACCTCCCCCTAGTCCTCATGGCCCACCTCCCCCTAGTCCTCATGGCCCACCTCCCCCTAGGCCGCGGCTGCACTGCCAACAGCGCGGATGACCGTAACCTCCACCCAGTACCTCACTGCAGTAAGGCAACAAGCCATACTTTGGCAAAGAGCCAGAAGATGCCCCCCCCACCACAGACCACCTGGCCCAGCCAGGGGAATTCACTGCATGGGGCACTGGGTAGCCCAGTGTGATTTTAGTCATCAACAAGTTCCATCCAAGTGTCAAGAGACAAGACGGGGGAGGGACTCCACCCAACCCACTGGGCGACAGGCTGCGAGCAGGTGACCTGTTTACAGAAACGGAACAATCTAAAAAGGAACTATCCCCCCCCCCCCCATTTCACACTTACCAACAGACAGATGGGTGTCCTTTTAATACACAGCTACCTTTCCAAAATGTTCCATACATGTCATTTCCGTGCGTCTTGACGTCTTTGACCAGTTTGCATTTTTACGGGCATATTGGGAGATATATACATTATATATAAATAAAATGAGGTCAGCAGACAAAAGCCAGTTATCACACTTCAAAAACAAAAGGCCCCCTTTGTTTAAGCATTCAGAGGAATGCTGACGTCTCCAAGGAATGACTGACATAGCAGGATGACAGGAGGCTTCCAGAATCACAACAAGTGGGTGGGGTGGGGGGGAGCTTGGCACCAGGCCAGACATACCACCACAGCTGGTGAAGTATGAGCTCTCCGCCGATTTGAACTTCCTACCTGCCTGACAGGCATGGGGTGGGCGGGGGAGCTGAGGGGCCGGGAGATCACAGGCTCCTGAACCGGTGCTATGTCACCCTTCAGTCTGTCCCCCGTTTACCCAACCTTCTAGGAGGTCTTATTCCTTCACCTGCCCCTCCCCCCCATGGCAGGGGCAGCGAGGGTACTCTCCGCTCCCCAACGTCATCAGCCCCACGATGGAAACGTCGCGATTGTCAGAGGTTCAGCGCATTTTTGAATCCCAGCTAACTGTTGCAGGGAGTGAGCAAAGTATGGGGTTCAAAGTGGTATAAGTGACCGACCCCTTCCTTTCTCTGAGGGAATCTAGCGAGATCTGGTTTCAGACAGCGGCTAAGAGCAGGGAGAGACAGGCATGGCTGCATTTGCATTCCGTCTGCTACAGAGGGATGAGGAGGAGAGACGTGATCAATATCTCCAAAAGCGGAGATGGAAGCGGCCGACATGGGAGCAGAAATCAGCAGTGACTGCTGTGAGGAAGGCCCAGAGATGGGGGGGGGGGGGGGGGGGGGGGGGGGGGGGGGGGGGGGGGGGGGGGGGGGGGGGGGGGGGGGGGGGGGGGGGGGGGGGGGCGCCTCAGGGACCAGCATTAAAAATTAGGAAGATGAAGTACAGAGCTGAGGTCATCGAGTGCCATCGTCTCTCGCGTACTGCGGTCTGGTTAGATGCCAGCTGGGT